CCCAGCGCCTCTCTTGCCCCACCCTGCTGGGCCAGTAGGAAGGATTGGGTTGGGCCACCCCCTTGGCCCCCTGGAATGAGGCATGTAGCCCCCACCTCATCTCTCTGGTATGCCCAGAGCTGGCAGAAGAACAGGGTCTGAGTGGCATGGAATCTCCCTTTCAAGAGGGAAAGTGGGCTGGGGAGTTAAGTGCCTGGATCCCAGATGGGAAATTGGGGATGCCTGCCAATCTCAGAATCTGGGGATGGGAGAACAGAGGGTGCCTGGTGAATGGTGAATGCTCACGTGATCCTGGGTGGCAAAACCTTTGTGTCCCCGACAGGACCTGGCAGTTGGAAGGTATTGAATAAGTGGATGGATGGACGAATGGATGGGTGGGTAGATGGCCAGCATGGGGGATCCAGGCATTACAGGGAATGAATCCCAGGGACTTGGGAAAGAAAAAGTACATTTATTTATCCAGTGCCTCCTTTGGGTCAGGTGCTACCTTTTATCTCACTAAAGCAACCCCATGATCCCCACTTTCCAGATGAAGAAGCTGAAACTCAGAGGAGTTAGAAACTTGCCCAAGGTCACCGGGCTAGTAAGGCTAATAAGTGCTAGGACTGCATGCAGAGCCTGGGTCTGACCCCAAAGCCACATTCTACATTCTCCTACTGGGATGCCTACGTCCCAAGAGGAGGAGGCAGTCATCTCTAGGATGCCTTTTCTTTCCAGGACAGGGGCAGGGACAGCTTTCCTAAGCCGGACAAGGAGCTCCCCCCCCAACTCTGGCCTGGCCCCACCCCAAAGGCACCACAGATCCGGGAGGGCGTAGTGCAGAGAGGACAGCCAGATGCCACTTTGTTGGTCTCAGGCCCATCCCCTGCGGGCTCCTCAGAGCAGAGCTAGGGAGCGGGGCTGGCCCTTGGCCCCAGGATCAGAACCTTTCCACCTCTCCCAGGTGTCCTGCTTCTTCGTCTGATCCTCATTTTGAGGCTGTTTCATTTGACCTTCAAAAAGGAAGACCAGCCTCTAGGGCTGTCCTTGTCCCAGGCCCCAGAGTCCTCCTGCAGGGCTAGAGTCCTCAGCTGTGCATATCCTGCAGGCCCAACCCCAGGGGGCGCCACTCACATTTGAAGTCATTGTCGTGGACACTTAAAGTCATGACAGTTTTCCAGAAGATGGCAGTAAGTGTCTTGAAGGAGGGGGCATTTTGTTCTAATGCACACAGTCACCTTTTGGGCTTGTGGTGGGGGCTGATCCCACACAGCCAGCTCCAAGTTTCGGGGTCCTGACTCTGCCTGGGGAATTCCGGCACAGTGCCCTCTCTTTACTTACTGCGGGGCGGGGGAGGCTCTCAAAGGGAGGGTTTGGGTTGCCAGCCGGAGTCCTGGTCCCTTAAAGTGTTAACGTTAGAGTGTGACAGTGGAAAGTGCTGTCAAAAACTCTCCAGCACTAGACAAACAGGAGATAGTCATCTATCAGCCAAGAAATGTTTATTGTTGTATTATTCCTTTATTTCTGGCAAGAACAAACAACTTACTTGGCATCTTTACCTGAGTGTCCACCAAGCAAGGCCAGTGTTCCTATTCCTGTGAATCTTCCCCTCTTTGGTCTCTGTGTGTCTGTGTGTACTGGGGGAGGGGGGACAGGGTGTGTGCCCTGTGGTCGCCCAGACTCCACCCAGGTGTCTCAGATTGAAATAGCTTAAAAACTGCCCTGGCTCTCCAGCTGGCTGGCTCACCCTCCACTCTTAAATTTGTCTTGTCTCCCCCCGCCCCCGCCCCAACCCCAGGAGTCCCGGTGTCCTTTCCTCACCCTACCCTGTCCCGCTCTCTCAGGTCTGGTCACCCCCTTGGTTACTCCACCTGTCAGTGCCTTCTGCACCCAGAGCTTGGACAGGAAATGGAAAATTCCCAGCTCCCTCGTGCTCCCTTCCTGGCTGCAGGGCCTCATCCAAGGGTCACCTTGAATTGAGTGCTCATTCCCCCACAGGGAAATGAGTTGGAGCCGACAATCAGGAGAAACGGCTCAACAAGGGAGCACAAGAGTGCAGGATGCAGCATGTTGAGACCACCCACTCTGAGAGAGGCAAAGCTGGGGGCTGGAGGACAGGATCGATCCTGCAGCACAGGGAGGCCTGGGTGTAGAGCTGGCCCCAGGGCTGACGTGGCTGAGGGAGAAGCTGGACAGGGGTGGGTCGTGAGCCTTGGGATGAGGCAGGAGCCTGAGACCTGGGTGGTGACAAGAGGGAGACTTGGGGGAGGGGGGGAGGGCAAGGCAGAAAGGCTTGTGCAGGCCCTTTGCCTCGGAGAGGCAAGACATGCTTGAAGGATCCAGAGGCTGACCCTGGGACCCATTTCGCTGGGCCTGAGTCGACCTCTGCTGGCCATTTAACAAACTGCAGCCAGACCGGCTCTCCCCTGTCATTCGCTCCCAAGGATCTTCAAAGCCCCTGCTCCAATTCCCGATGTCCCACCTCCAGCCTCACCTTCCCACCTCTCCTCAAGCCTCTGTTCCCTCTAAGACCCCAGACCCGAGACCCAGGGTCCAGATGCATAGGCTGTGCTTGCCTTTCAGGGCTGTTTTCGTTGCTTTGGTGACCTTTCCATTTCTCTTCTCCCTCACCATGGGAGGTGGGAGATCCTCTCTGGCCAGGCCCCAGATGTCACCCATGATGTGGGCTTTGTGTCTGGGATGGCCGGGGCAGGGGGCGATGCTTACAGTACAAGGAAGATGACAAGTTTATCAGAAACGCCCGCTATCCCAGCTGAGTGGAGCTGAGAGCTTGAGGGAGGCCAGTATTAGCCCAGAGGGGCAGACGGGGTGAGGTTGGGGTAGGTCTCCCTCACCCTTGGCAACCCCCCCGACCCAGGCCTCTGGCCTCAGAGCCCCTCCCCTGACCCAGCCCACCAGCTGCCTTCCCTCAGCCTGCCCCCTTCCCTCTGCTCTGGGATTGGTGCCAGGGTGAGAAGGGGACACTGGCACTGACCGTGTCTGGGAATTCCCGCCCACCGTGGAGTCAGTGGGAGGGGGTCCCCGTGTCCCCGAGGAGCCAATAGCAGCCAGGCTTTGCCCTGGGGGGCGGCGTATATCTTGCAGACGAGCACCCCCTAGGCACTGTCTCCTCTCTGCCTGCCTGGCACCAGCCAGACCCCGCTGTGCCCCGGGGGGCTCTGAGCCCCCCAGGCAGTCCTTCTGATACAGCCCTCTCCCTTTGGAGGGGGCCTAAAGCCCTTTCCCTTGGGGATGGCCCAGCCAGGCACCTCTGTCAAGTCCCTGGTGTCATCTTATGAGACCCGAGTGGTGGGGATGGCGCCAGGGCCTCCCCGGAAAAGGGGCTGTGTCTCCTCTCCTTGCTCCCCTCGGGGAGCATCCCCCATCCGAGGGGCATCTGCACCCCCACCCCGCCGGGGCCTGGGGGTGCCTGGGCAACGGCCCCCACCCCGCCGGGGGACGGACAGAACTCTCCTCTCCCTGATTCTCTGTCACAGGTACAGGCAGGGGTGTGGGCGGGAGGCTGCAGTGAAGGGTTTGTGGAGGCGGCCAAAGCCTGCTCTGAGAAGCACCTGGAAGGCAGCCGGCTGGGGTGTCCAGACACCTGGCTTGGCACCTACTCCTCCTCACCTCTCAACTCCCTGTGTCTCTCCAGCGGCTCCGGAAGCCTGGTTGGCATTGACAACAAGATCGAACAAGCCATGGTAAGAGAAGCCATCTTGGTCCCGGGAGGTTCCGACTCATGTCCTGCTGTCCTCATCAGGGAATACCGACTCCTAGCTCCTCAACCCGCTCCCCAGCTGGGTTCCCTCCTGTCTCCACCTGAACTCCCGATCTCCCTTGGCCCCTGGCCTGGCCCCCATCTCTGTCCTCAAGCCCTGACCTTGTCTCTGTCCGGCATCCTTGCACACCGCAAACCCCCCTCCCCTCCCCCTCCCCGGCCTCTTCCCTGCTTTGCTGCTTCTCCAGTGGTCCTTCATCATTTGGGAGCAGGCAGGGGCATCTCTCACACCCAGGCCCTCGAGGCCCTGGGCAGGGATGAGGTTGGGGTGGCCTGGGACCCCTGACTCTTTGTCTGTCCCTGGGCCCCCAGGACTTGGTGAAGTCCCACCTCATGTTTGCGGTCCGGGAGGAGGTAGAGGTGCTGAAGGAGCAGATCCGAGACCTGGCCGAGCGGAACGCCGCGCTGGAGCAGGAGAACGGACTGCTGCGTGCCCTGGCCAGCCCCGAGCAGCTAGCCCAGCTGCCCTCCTCGGGAGTCCCGCGGCTTGGGCCCCCTGCACCCAACGGGCCCTCCGTCTGAGCCTCCCTTCCCTCACAATGTGCCTTTGGGGGCTGCCACGGCTGCCTGCCCCCCTTCCTATGCAGCTTTAATGCCTCCTGATCCCTGGGGATGGGAGTTGAAGGCTCAGATGTGGCCTGTCCCCCCCATTCTTCCTCAGTCTCCCCCTAGTGCCCAGGGACTGGGCGGGGGCACCCCCAGGCCTTGAAGGAGGAGGGAGGGCTTCAGGATGGGATGTTGGATGGAGCCCCCCTCCTGCCTCCCGAGGTGTCAGTGTTCTGGGACCCCTGGCAGTCGATGGCTGGGGGCCTTGGAGTCTCTCTGGCAGACACACCATCCCCACCTTGTTCCCTCAAAGTACCCCTTCTCCTCTGCCCAGGGGAGGGAGTGTGGACAGTCTGCAAGTTCTGGGATTCAGGTTGTTATTAAAATAATAATTATAATTAAAAAATCCGAAGAAACTTGAATCTGGAGGTTGGCATCTCGTTGCTTGTGTCCAGATGTGGCCTGCAGTGGTATTTCCACGTGTGGGGGAAAGACGGAGGTATGGGCTCCCTTGGAGATCTTATCCAGACTGGGGAGGTTGAATGTGGTTTAGACACAGTGGTCGAAAGAGTTGAGAGGGGGGTGCGCCAAGGGCCCAAAGGGGAGTCAGCGGCCTGGGTCCTGGGAAGGGGCAGGCAGGGCGGTGGGGGGGGGGGCGTCAGCCCACGTGCTGGGGGTGGGGGCCAGGGAAACAATGAGGCCTTTGGTGATTGTGCAGGATCCACCCCCAGCTTCCCAGTGTGTCCCCTCTGTGGGCTGGATCCCGGTGGCGGCGGCTTGGGGGGCGGGGCTGGGGGCCCTGAATGGGCCCCTTGTCTCAGCGCTGGGTGTGGGCCAGGTTCCCCGGGCACACGGTGCCCTCGCCAGGCCTGGCCGGCCTCCGTGGCTTCCACCCTCCGCTGGCTGAGGACCGGCCCTGTGGGTGAGCCGGGCCCCTCCCTGACAGCCTGGGCTGGGCTCCCGCCCCGGGCAGCAGTGGCAGGTAGGGAGAAGGACCCCATCTAGTGGGGAAGGGGGGAAAGCAGCAGCCTCTGCTCAGAGCACCCGGGGCCCCAGACTAAAGGGGCCCCGTGAAGAGTGGGATACTGGAGGCCGCCCCAGGTTGGACTTCCCGCCCTATAGCTCCCTAGATTTTTTATGACAGGTTCTTTGTGTTGTCTGCACCTCAGCTTCCTCGTGGGTAAAATACCTACGGGAGGGCCACTCCGCTGGTTACGTGACATCATACGTGGGGAATGTCCAGGGAGGACCAGGAGCTCAGGAGCCCTCCCTCCTCCATCAAGGCCTGCTTAGTTTCCCTCCCCTGGACCTGGGGGAAGGAGGGCTGAGGGCACAGGGATTGGCTCCTCGGGTCCTGGAAGGGCCTCGGGGGTTGGGGTCAGGGCCAGGCAGGCTCTCACAATGGGCTAGAACTCTGCCTTCCTCTGAGTTCTCATCCACTTTGACTCCTCTCCCTGTCTCAGGGAGGGGAGGAAAGACTTAGGATGAGTCGTCGGTGAAGGCTTTCCCCCTGGATTCTCTCTTTCTTTCTTCTTGGCTGTGCGTGAAGCTCCTGAGAGACCCCTCAGGTGGTGGCCACTGGCCTGCAGCCTGTTCCCCTCCCCCCTTTGTACCAAATGCTTGTCCTGCCCCCTGCTTGGTGTTCGTGTATTGGGAGAAATGGCTGTGGTAATGCGGTTCTTCCGATGGATTTGGCAAAAGATTACTCGCTGGGTGAGTTTCAGAGAGTGCCCCTTCCTCATGACATGCTGGGGCAGGAGGTTCTGCTCAGTGACCTCTAGGTCACAGAAACCCATTTGCGGGGGGAGGCAGGGACACTCACAGCCCCTTCCCCTCTGTGATGGCCTTCTTGCCAATCATGTGCCCCTCTCTTGTCTCTCCTCTCCCTGTCTCGGTTCTCAGGTTTTCTTCTGGAAACACAAAGCTAAGTCAACCGTCTTGGAACACCATGACTCCCAGAAAAGTGTAGTGAAGGTGGAGAAGAGTCCCAAGGTGATTGAGACTTTGAAGTTGGTTGAGCCCTGCGAAGAGGCTAAGGTCTCCAAGACGGCAGAGACCCCCAAGGTGGCTGATCCCTTCACGTTGGTCAAATCAACAGATAAGGGTGAGGTGGAACAGAAACGTGTGGGCCGGTCCCTGCTGCAGCTGCCCCGGACAGCTGTCAAGTCTGTCTCCACACTCATGGTCTCGGCCCTGCACAGTGGCTGGCAAATGTGTAGCTGGAAGGTGAGCACCCTATTACCTGGTTCCCAGTGGTCCTTCCACCCTCCCTGATCCCTCATGACTCCTCCCCCGCTCCAATCACTTGGCTGACATTTGTTTTGTGTGCCTCTCAGGCACTGAGGCGGGCAATCGAGGCTACACGGTGATCGAGATTTACCCAGACTAAGGGAGCTACAGACAAGATCATAGGCATTGTTGGTTCAGTGTCTTAGGGCTATGACAGGGGAGGTCAGGGGTCTGTAGGAGCCCAGAGGAGGAGCATCTCATGCAGACTTGGCGAGTCAAGGAAGGCCTTCCTAGCAGAAGAGACGGTGAAGCTGAGACCCGAAGGATTGGCCCTGCCTTGGGGTGGAGTGGGGTGCAAGGAAGTGAGGGGGACATTCCATGAGAACAGAATAGCAAGGGGGCTGGGGTGGGGGGTTGCTGGCCCAACGTGATGGGTTTGGGCAGTCCTGGGGCCAAGGGTCAGCTTGTACAAGGCAGAGTGGTTGGCCATCTGTGCAGTTTGGGTTTGACCCTAAGAGCAATGGGAACCCTTGTAGACATTTGAGCGGAGGAGTGACACAATCAGATTTTAATTTAGAAAGCTCCCCTGCTGTCATAGGTTGTGGTGTAACCGCTCTGGAAACAGTTTGGTAGTGTCTTTCTTTCTTTTTTTTTTTTTTAAGATTTTAAAATTTTTATTTCAGAGGGAGAGGGAGCAGACTCCCCGCTGAGCAGGGAACCCGATGCGGGGCTCGATCACAGGACCCCAACACCATGACCTGAGCTGAAGGCAGATGCTTAACCAATTGAGCCACCCAGGCGCCCCAGTTTGGTAGTTTCTTATAAAACTAAACTTGTAATCATCATATGCCAAGCAGTCATACTCTTGGCATTTATCCTAGATAAATGAAACTTTATGTTCACACAAAAATCTCCACGTGAATGTTCAGAGCAGCTTTATTTGTAATAGCCAAAACCAATCCAAATGTCCTTCAGTGGGTGAATGGTTAAACTGTGATGTCTCCATACCATGGAATACTTCTCAGCCTTAAAAAGAAACAAATTATTGATGCACCCAACAACTTAGATGAGTCTCCGGAATTATGCGGAGTGAAAACAACTAATCCCCAACCAATATTATATATATATATATAATATATATAATATATATATATATATAAAATGATTCTATTTATATCATATACCACTCTTAAAATAGCAAAATTATAGAACTGGAGACTTGATTAGTGGTTTAGTGATTGCCAGGGTCTAGGGGTTGGGGGTTAGCAGGTAGGTTGGTTATAAAAGGAATGAGGAATTCTTGTGATGATGGAAATGTTCTGTGTGTTGACTGTGGCAGTTGGCGACATGAACCTGCGTATGTGAGATGAAATTGGGTAGAATTTAATACACACACAACTGAGTGCAAGCAAAGGGGGACATGTGAATAAGATCAGTGAATTGTATTGGTGTCAGTGTCCTGACCATGATTCAATATTATAGTTTCGTAAGATTTTACTATTGGGGGAAATTGGGTAAAGAGCATACGAGGACTCTAGTATTTCTCACAACTGCATCTGACTACAATTATCTCAAAGTCAGAAACGTAATTTTAAAAAGGGAAGTGTCTAGATCGCTACCAAACCAACTTATTTTGGCCTTGAATGAAGTATTACAGCACTAATAAAAAGTTGACTTGGCACCCTGTGATGGGCGGGTCAGAAAAGGACAAGAGGAGAGGCAGGGTATTTAGGAGGTAGAATTGTTGTACCAGCTGGTTGATTGGATGACGGTGAAGGGAGAGAGAGAGACAGAAGTCAGAGTGGGCTGGAGCCATTCACTGGGGTGGAGAATGAAGGAACAAGAGCAGACTTAGGGGAGCAAGTGATGAGTTGAGGGCATTGGGACAAGATGAGTTGAGATGTTGGTGGAATATTTGCATGGAGATACCTAGGAGACAGTGAGATATACAGGCCTGGAGATGCGGAGGGAGCTCTGGACTGATGATGGAGGTCAGGGGGCCATTCTGACCTTAATTTTTTTTTTTTTTAAGATTTTATTTATTTGACAGAGACACAGTGAAGAGAGGGAACACAAGCAGGGGGAGTGGGAGAGGGAGAAGAGGCTTCCCGCCGAGCAGGGAGCCCGACGTGGGGCTCAATCCCAGGACCCCGGGATCATGACCTGAGCCGAAGGCAGACGCTTAACGACTGAACCACCAGGCGCCCCATTTTTTTTTTTAAGATTATTTATTTATTTGAGAGAGAGAGAGTGAGAGAGAGCACAGCTGGGGTGGGGGGCAGAGGGAGAGGGACAAGCAGACTCCCCGCTGAGCAGGGAGCCCCACACGGGGCTTTGATCCCAGAACCCTGGGATCATGACCTGAGCTGAAGGCTTAATGGACCGAGCCACCCAGGCACCCCAACCCTGCCCTTCATTTTAACACAATCTCCCGGAAACCCTAGTGAGGACTCAAAGATGTGTGAGACATGGTGCCTGTCTTTCAGGAGCTCGAATTCTAGTGTTGAAAACAGGTCCGCAGAACAAAGAGCAGATGTCCTGCCAAATGTTGAGGCAAACACAAGGGTAGAGACAAAGAACACCTAATGCAGCCTGGGAAGGCTTCCTGAAGGAGGCGGTGCCTGAGCTAGGCCTGACTGGAGGAGTTGGCTCTAGAAAAGCCTTTGCTGTTCATCTGGCAGTGGTTGTATCCCTGATTTCTCCCTAGAGGAAGCTATTTACATGTGCACATCTTCTCTCTCTCTCTCTCTATTGTAGTCCTCTGTGAGTTCTACCTCCATTTCCTCCCAGATGAGGCCTGGGTCCCCTCTGGAGACGCCGGAGGCTAAGATGCTGCGGGAAGTGTACCTAGTACTGTGGGCCGTCCGGAAACAGCTACGGCAGCTTGCTCGCAGGCAGGAGAGGCGGAGGCGGCGCCACATCCGGGCCCACACTGGCCCCCAACCTGACGCAGTTCAGGGCCTGAAACAGGATGCCCGGAGTCCCCTCTAGGGGGGAGCCCCACATCCTCCAAAAAGCCCCACCTCACTCTTAGGTAAGGTTGATAGGAGAGGTTAGGGCAGCAGGCCAGGAGTTGTGGGTGAGGAGAAGTTTTCATACTGTCACCTCTCATCGGGAGCCCAAGTCCAGGCCTGGGGTCCCACTTATTCCCCTTCATTCCGTTTATTCAATTTATTAAAAAAAAAAAATTATCCAAATGTTGGGAAATAAATATCAGATATTTCGGAGTAAATATAGTCTGTTTGTGGATAGCCAGAGACAATGAGGGGAACTTGGGCGGGGCAGGGCGGGGCACCTCGGGCTGGCCCAAACATGTGTGGGAGTAACTTGGGGGCTTGGGGGGGATCCCCATGTCCAGGGCCCCCTGGGCCCAAACCCACTTCCAGGGACTGATTGCCTTTGGCAACTCTGCCAGGCCAGCAACTCCGGGCATCCTGTCCGCAGCAGCACCCCTTTACTGAAGATACGTGGCGCCTCCCAGGTCCTGAGCCCATGCTCTCCCTGGCAATCCTACAAAGACGGGCGTTTTGCAGAGGTTGAGGGACTTGAACAAACGAGACCTGCTGGAAACTGCCCACTGCCCCGCCCCTCTGGCGCTCTGGGGCTCCCCCATAGCGAGGTCAGTGGGTCTGAAGACCCACGCGGCGGCGGCAGCCGGACCCGCATCGGTGGGTAAGGCTCGCAGGCCCTGCTGGCCGCGCCCTCGCCGAGAGCGGCCGAAAACTACAACTCCCAGGGTTCCGGGAGGCGCCGGGGGCGGGGCTGGGGCCGCGGGTCTGCGCCCGGGAGCCGAGCGTGCTGCTGCGGGTGAGGGTGTCGGACTGGCTCCTGGGGAGTTGGAGCGGGGGGGGGGGTGCGGGTAGGGGGGAGGCTCGGCGGGAGGCCGTGGTGTTTTGGAGGAGGTTGGGGTACGGGAGGCAACACGAGGGGATACCCCTCTCGGACTTAGTCCGCCCTCTTGCCCGGCCACACGAAGGCGCAGCGGTGGCTCCCCAAGGAAAAGCAGGGATATTTCACAAAGACTGCAAAATTAGGGCATTTCAGTGTCCACAGGGCTTGGGGGTGCGGTGGGGAAGGAGGAAGGGATGCCAGCAGAGGCCCCGGGGAAGGGGGAGAGAGGGAGAGGGGGAGGAGGAGGAAGGGTGCAGCTGGTTGTGCTGCTGGGTCTGGCTCGGGGAGTTGGTGCGAATAGCAAGCAGGTGGTGGGCGTGAGCAAAGCTGGGGTAGTGAGCAAAGGGGACGGATTGTTGGAAGCACCCAATTCCCTAGAGAAGTCAGCAAACTACTCGCCTCCCCCCAGAACCCCCTCCTCACCCCTCACTGCTCTGGAAGAGTTTGGGCCCCCTTGCTGGGAATCCGGGTTGCCTTTCCCAAAAGTCGGGAACTGCACCAGGCTGCCCAGCCCTATAGCCCTGCTACCCTGAGCCTATTAGCTGTCCACTGCACCTCAACCTTGCCAGCCAACGGAATACCAGTCACCGCTCATTAAGCTCCTACTGTGACTACTTTTAGGTCTCCTTCTAAGTAATTCTCACAACAGCTTTGTGATGAAGTATTACTGCTTCCGTTTCTTGGAGGAGAAAACCGAGGGACAGAAAGGTCATGTTTAATAAGATCATGTAGCTTTCATTGATCCAACTGATGAGTCTAGCTCACACTGGACATGTAACATACATGTTACACGCACACATACACGTTACACTGCAGGTGTTCAGTACATGAAATGGCTTCACTGGGAATGTGTCTTGAGTTTGGCATGAAGGCAAAGACTGTTCGGGTGGGGAGTCCAAACAGGCGGATACACAGTGGCTCATTTCTGGGGCTTTCAATCACCAGTTATTCCTCACCTCTGCCTGTGTGCCGGGAACCATTCTGGGGACCAGTGGCATTGGTGCAGGGTCTGTGTCCCCGGGTGTCCAGAGGCTGGAAGGTGCTTCACTGTGTGAGCAGCCCCTCCCAAGTCCTTAGAGACAGGCTCCTCTTCCGATTGGGGACCTTAAGGTTTTCAGTGGGAGGATGGTGGGGTAGGGTTAAGGGTGGCCTGGAGGGTCACTGGTAAATAGCCTTGCAAGTAGCTACAGGCCCAGGAGCCAATCCAGGCTGGAGGCTGGGGGCTTATGGGAGGGAATACTGCCTTCATTTTTCTTTGGCTTCTTTAGCATCTTGGGAGTGGGAGGGGAGGAAAGGAAGAAGGTGAGTTCAGCCCGCAGCCAAAGGAGCTGTTGGCACCTCCCATCGCTCCCTCCCTCCCCAGACATGATGGAGTCCTGTCTGGGCTTGGCCAAGCAGGGGAATGGAGACTTGCAGGAGAGAGGGGGGTGGGATGGAAGAGAAGTCCACAGACCTTGCTTTTCCTAGATGTCTCCATGCACCCAGGTGGCCTCCTTCCTCCCCATCCTAAGTAATCCAGCCCAGAGCCCTAGGCAAGGCCTGTGGTGGGGCCTGGGGAGGAACTTTCCAACTGGGAGGGAAGTATAAGGAATCTCCTGGGGGTAGTGATTTACAGGGAGGGATGCTTACTCACCCCAGCCCTCTCCGGGTAGAAAGAAGTAGAGGACAGAGTGACCCCCGCAGAAATCTGCCTCCTGATGACAGTCTTGTGAAAAACTCCCACCTTGGACACCCTCCCCTCCCATCCCCATCAGACCTCAGGCACCTCTCCCCCAAAGCTGCTCGACTGCATGAGGCCAAAGTAGTAGGGCTATGGGTGGGCTGAGTTGGGACCAGAGTCCTCCTTTATTTTCAAAAGAGAGGGGCCCTAGGAATGTGGGGAGCAACATGAGAGTGCTGGTCCCAGATGCCCTCGCTCTCTGCCCCATCTCCCCTTCTCCTCCATCATCATCTGATTGCCTGAAAATGTCAAATCTTTTGTCCGGCTCCACCACACAGCAAAACATGTCATACCCTTGCTGAAACCTTCCAATAGTTTTCCATCCTTCTTGGAAAAAAATCCATACTTTCCTTTTGTCTAAAATGCCCTTCTCTCAGATCTTGGCACCGTGGGCTCCTTGCCGGTCTGGATTCTGTGCAAATGTCGCCACGTGTCTTCCCGAACCCTTTCCCTGATGGTCTGACTTAGAAATCAAGAGAGACCTGCTGTCCTGGCCATCCTCTGCCTCTTGCCATGCTTTGTCTTCGTGTAGTACTTAACAGTATCTGAAATTATATTTACTTATTGGCCAGTATACTCGGGAGCCAGTGCAGTGTAGTAGTGAAGAGCATGGGAAGTGATTTGAACTAACACTTTCTGGATGTGTAACCTTGGGTAAATCGGCTAACCTCTCTGAGCCTTGGTTTCCTCATCTGTAAAATGGGGAAAGTAGTAAGTAGTACCTGTATCACTGGGTTGTCATGAGAATGAAGGAAATGATGCTCAGCACAACACAAGGACTCAGTAAATGTTAGCTGCTAGGAGTATGATGATGGTTACGATTTACGGTGTATGGTTTCTATCCCCATGGCCTAAAACAGTACTGAATAAAACAAAGTAAACGTTCACCTAGTCTGTGGGAAGCACACTCCGACCAGCTGTGTTTTGGATGCCACGCCATTTTGGAAGTGACCAGAAATGCCATGTGCAGCGAGTAGCAGGAAGAGCACTTGACAGAGAGTCCAAAAGCCCTTGGTTCTGGACTCAATATTGCTGCTACTGGGCCTTGGGCTCTTCAAATAAAATAATGGGTTGAAGCAAATGGTTCTGCTCCCTGCCAGCTTCCGGGGGTTCTGGTTTGAGCCCTGGGCTCCCTTTATCCACCACATAGTCTTCAGGGTTGGGGACACATGGTGCCTTCAACTCCCCTCAACCCCACCACCTAACAGCCCAAAGCTGCCGTGAAGAGGGTCGACCCAGGGAAAACATTCTTGGTTTAAGCCCTTGAACCCAGAAACAAAGTCTCAGCCCTGGACAGCGGGTCTTCTCTTGACCCACGTCACCCCCTCCCTTTTGGCCTCATCTGCTCTCCTATCTGACCGCTGCGGGGGAGCCAGCCCGACTGAGCCCCACCAGGGGCTGGACCCAGGCCTGAAGGCTGAAGGCTTCGGCCTCAGTTATTCTCGGACGCGCAGACAGGGTGTGTGTGCAGAAGCACGCGCCTGTGTGCACTTGCGGGTATCTGTGGCTAAATTTTGACTTGTTCCTGTCTTCCCCCTCAGGAGTGGCAAGACCGAGATTAACTAGAGGGCTGGTAATGCTGTCTGCCCCTTTGCTGGAGCCACCTATCTGCTCCTTGGGTCATTCTGGGGGTACTGGGCAGCCAGCCTGTTAAGATCTCCAAGGGGGAAATGGACCAAGGGTAGGGATCTCCTCTTTCCTTCTCGGTCCTCTTTGTCTCAAAAGCTGAGCCCACCCACCCCACACCTGTCTGCCCACCTCACCGGGGATGCTCGGGTCTGTGTCCCTGCCATAGCTGAGTCATGGACTTCTTCCTATTTCCCTTTCCCTCAGTGCCTCCCGGGGTGAGTGGCTGTAGAGGGGCAGGTTTTGCAAGACAGGCTTGGTATTTTGTGTTGAAGGAGGAGTGCACAACTGAGGTGTGGCCGCGGCTGGCTCAAGCTGGGGCGGAGAAGGCCCTAAGAAGGCGGGTCCCCGGGTTGCAGGGGGTCCGAAGCACCCTTTGCCGGCTTTCTCTCTCCCCTCCAAGTTTAAGAGCCAGCTGTTTTTCCTTTATTGTTTATACGCTCTGACACTTTTTCAACTGGGTTATGGGTCTTTTCTAGAGGCCCACGTAGTTCAATATAGAGTTTAAGAGCCTGCCCTCTGGAGCCAGACTACCAGGTTTTGAGTCCTGGCTCTACCACTTACTAGCTATATGGCCTTGGGCAAGTTGCTTAACCCCTCTGTGCCTCAGTCACCTCAGCAGCAAAACGGAGGTAATGCAGGGATGTTGTGAGGATTGTATGAATTAAGGCACAGAAAAAAACTTAGAACAGTCCTTGCCACGTATTATGTGCTGTAGACATGCTTGTTTTTATTATTATTTCTTACTGATATCTAGAAGCTCTGGATAGAGCAAGGGAGTTAACCCTTTCTGGGATATGAGTTGCAGAGGTTTTAACACAGTCCTCTGTTTTTTCTTTTAACTTTTTATTTTGGAATAATGTGGATTAGAATGCAGTCATCAGAAATAATATCCAGTTTTCCCACGTAGAAGTGAAATCTTTACAAAAATTACTTGGCATATATACTTCATTTTTTAAAAATTATTCATTATCGAGGTGAGATCTTATGGTATC